GATAGACTTGTTGCTCAACCATAGGGAGTGTGGCTTGTAGACAGTCTCCAGCTGTGGGTTTTCTTACAGTCTGCCTCAGCTGCAGAGTGCTGCTTTGCCTGATCTCACTTCCTGGGTCACTCAGTGATTGATCAAGGTTGGGGTTTAAATGCTCAGCCATTTGGGGCTGATATAGGGCACTCTGAAGGGTAATGATTGCTGTAGAGCTCCCTGTTGTGTTGGCTTAGACTTTATTAAGCCTGGATAAGTTTGACTTCTTTCTCTCCCCAAACATGTTTTCCCCTTCCGTTTCACAGGAATACATCTTGCATCCCAAACTCCATCTTGGCATTTGCTTCTGGAGAACCTTGTCTATGGTAGACAAAATAATGGCCCTTCAACGATGTCTACATCCTAATTTCAGAAACCTGTGAACATATTACTGTACATGCCAAAAGAGAGTTTTAAGATGTGACTAACTTGAGGGTCCTGAGATGTGAAGATTATGGTGGATTATTTGGTGGGCCCAATGTAGTTACAGGGTCCTTATTAGAAGGAAAGAGGAATACTAGAGTTAGAGAAGGAGACATGACAAAAAAAGGAATCAGAGTCAGAGAGAGATTTGAAGATGTTACTTGGTCAGGTTCTTTTTGGTTTTTTAAAATAAATTTTATTGGTAAACACCAAAGACTCAACCAAGAAAATCCTGGAGAGAGAATTTATTTATTGATAAATAAGTTCAGCAAAGTCTCAGGCCACAAAATCAATGTACACAAATAAGTAGCATTCCTATATACCAAAAACAGTCAAGCTGAGAGTCAAATCAAAGACTCAATACCTTTCACATTCTGTAGGTTGTCTGTTTAGAAAATTTTTGTATCCTATGCATCTGATAAGGGGCTGATAACTAGAATATACTTAGAACTCACGAAAATCAGCAAGAAAAAAACCAAATAACCCTATTAAAAAGTGGGCAAAGGACTTGAACAGAACTTTTCTACACAAGACAGAAGAATGGCCAACAAACATATGAAAAAATGCTCAACATCTCTAATCATCAGGGAAATGCAAATCAAAACCACAATGAGATATCACTTAACCCCAGTGAGAATGGCCTTTATCAAAAAGTCCCCAAACAATAAATGCTGGCGTGGTTGCAGAGAGAGAGGAACACTCCTAGACTGCTGGTGGGACTGCAAACTAGTTCAACCTCTGTGGAAAGCAATATGGAGATACCTTAAAGCAATACAAGTGAATCTACCATTTGATCCAGCAATCCCATTACTGAGCATTACACAAAAGATCCAATGACACTCTACAGAAAAGACACCTGCACCCGAATGTTTATAGCAGCACAATTCATAATTGCAAGGCTGTGGAAACAGCCCAAGTGCCCATCAATCCAAGAATGGATTAATAAAATGTGGTATATGTATACCATGGAGTACTATTCAGCTCTAAGAAACAATGGTGATATAGCACATCTTATATTTTCATGATTAGAGCTGGAACCCATACTACTAAGTGAAGTATCCCAAGAATGGAAAAACAAACACCACATATACTCACCAGCAAACTGGTATTAACTGAGCAGCATCTAAGTGGACACATAGGTACTACAGTAATTGGGTATTGGGCAGGTGGGGGGGGGCGGGTATATACATACATAATGAGTGAGATGTGCACCATCTGGGGGATGGTCAGGCTGGAAACTCAGACTTGTGGGGGGAGGGAGGGAAAGGGCATTTTTTGAAACCTTAAAATTTGTACCCCCATAATATGCCGAAAAAAATACCTTTCACAATAGCTACAAAGAAAATAAAATACTTAGGAGTATACTTAACCAAGGAGGTGGAAGATCTCTACAAAGAGAACTATGAAACACTGTGAAATCACAGATGACACAAACAAATGGAAAAACATATCATGCTCATGGATCAGTAGAATCAACATTGTTAAAATATCCATACTACCCAAAGTGATTTATAGATTCAATGTAATCCCCATCAAAATATCAACATCATATTTCACAGATCTAGAAAAAATAATTCTACACTTCAGTTGGAACCAGAAAAGTGCCCAAATAGCCAAAGCAATCTTATACAAAAGAAACAAATTTGGAGGCGTTACATTAACAGACTTCAAACTATACTACAAGGATATCATAACCTAAACAGCATGGTATTGGCAAAAAAAAAAACACACAAAAAAAAACCCAAAACAGAGACATAGACCAATGGAGCAGAACAGAGAACCCAGATATAAAGCTATCCACATACAGCCAACTGATCTTTGACAAAGCAGACAATATACACTGGGAAAAAGAAGCCCTATTCAATAAATGGTGGTGAGAAAATTGGATAGCCACATGTAGAAGAATGAAACAGGATCCATTTGTCTCACCACTCACAAAAAATAATTCAAGATGGATAAAAGACTTAAATTTAAGGCATGAAACCATAAGAATTCTAAAAGAAAATGTACATATTTAAGATGTACAACATGTTGTTAAGAGATACATACAGAAAGCAAAATGGTTATTATAGTGAAGCAAATTAACATATCCATCGTCTCACATAGTTACCATTTTATTTATTTTTTATGGCAAGCACAACTAAAATCAACTTATTTAGCAAATACAAAAAGAGGCCATGAGCCAAGGAAACCAGGCTACCTCTGGGAGATGGAAAAGGCAAGGATACAGATTTCTTCCCAGAGTTTTCAGAGGGAACATGGTTCTTCCAACAACTTGATTTCAACCCAGTGAAACTCGTTTGGGACTTCCGACTTCCAAAAGTGTAAAACTATACATTTTTATGGTATTAAGCCACTAAGTTTGTGATAACTTGTAACAGTAGTAATAGGAAAGTAATTCACTATGCAACAGCACAATTTGTTCAATATGATGTCATTTTGGTGAGAAATATTTTTCACAAGAAAAAAATACTTGAAGAATATATATCAAAGTGTGTAAAGTAGTCATCATGGGGAAAAATTTTAGCCATGTCATTTTCTAGATTTTTCTATAATAAGCAATATTTCTTCTATAATAAATATATTTTTAAAGAATATAAAGAATAGTTTTTATGAATGTAGTCAAGATACTCAAGTAATGATAGAATATACGCATTCTACATCTTTACTAAAGGAAAATTGAGAAAGAGCACTTGATTATTTTAACAGAAAAACCCTCTACAGACAGAAAACAATGAGTTATGATTATCTTAAATGATTAAATAGCAACTTAGCACATGCTAAATTAAGTTATTAATAAATTTTGTTTATTTCAATTATTCATATATTTATGGTGGTATTCACCATGTTCTTTTTTCCCCCCACTATTAGAAGTGCTGCAATTAATATCTTTGAACCAATATCCTTATCTACTGGCTCTTGACTGCTTTTAGGACAGATTATTGAGATGAATTCCTGCATAAAGAATTACATATTTTGATTTATAATAGAGGTTACCCGATTGTTCTTCAAAGATGTCATTACAATTCAAACTTCCACTAGTAATGCATAGAAGTACCGATTCTCCATAGTGCCCTTTCAGATCTTTACTGACTCAGGCACAAATGACATTTTTAGGGCTTAGGTATCAGCCAGAAACTTGCTACAATGCTGACTTGAAACTTAACCATGATTATTGGCTGAGAAGGTTTATATTAATATATTTCCTATTTCTTAATAAGATTGGTCCTAAGATCAAGAGTTTGGGCTAAGAGTTTCGATCCTAAGATCAAGTGGCCATTGAGAAGTAGCCTGAGTCATACACTGGGCCACCTTTCCTATCTCATCTCCAGTTAGTGCCCTTAGACTTACTGAGATGTATTCTCCTTATTCATTAATTATTCACAGTTTGATTTTCTTCTGCCTGAAATTTTGTCCATTACCAATCTATTTTCATATTTGTGAGTTGACAGAAGCACAAAATTTTAGAATTTAGAGGGACAAGATATACAACCTTCCAAGTAATATAGTTTCCCAGTAAGTATTTATTGCTGTTATTTTTTAAGACCTAAACTTCAAACTATATATTTTGGGTGTGCGGCATGGGGAAGCCTTTCCTTGACTCTTCAGCTGATGTTATTTTTGCCTCTATTGAAATCTATAGTGCTTCATTTGCTCTTCTTTGGTCAGTTTATTATAGTATTTTGAAATTTAGTTCATCTTATTCTAAATTAAAATTTCCTTTCCATATTTTTATAAGTTCATATTGCTTCTAAAGTAGTATCTTATAACATATAGGAATATAAATATGTTTTGAATAAAATATAAGCCTGTTAATTGTACAAATATGAAAATATTTACAGTTATGGCAAACAACATAAAAAAACTAAATCCATTAATATGCTTAAGAGAGTCAGACTTTGAGAGGTTTTCTTTGGTGAAAACAACAGCAGAGAAAGCCATCATAACTATATCTTATAGGGGCAGAGTACATTTATCTAAAGTCACAGATTCTAATAATTTTTAATAGTTGTAAATTCCTGCTAACAAATTTGACCAGTCAGTCTACAACCAATTCTCATAAGTTCGATTGTGTCCTACAAAAGATATGTCAAAGTCCTAATTCCTACTGTCTCAGAATGTAACTTTATTTGGAAATAGAGTTGTTGTACATGTAATTAAGTTAAGATGAGGTCTTACTAGAGTAGGCTCTTAATCCAATACAAGTGGTGTCCTTATAAGAAGAAGAGAATAGAGATAGAGACATGCAGAGAGAACACCTTGTGACAATAGAGGCAGGTTCTCTTCCTCTTGTGGGAACCAAATCTGTCAATACCTTGGTTTTGGACTTCCAGTCCCCAGAACTGAGAGATTACATTTCCTTTTTGAGGTCCTTCAGTTTGTGGTAATTTATTACACAGCCCTGGAATACTGATACACCACTCTTCTCCCTTACCCATTTTTCAAAGTAAAAATTTTAAATTCAATGCTATTAAAAAGCTGGATGACAACTACTATATGAGAAAAGTTGAGAAGGTGAAAACTATTATTTGTGATTGCCTCTTCAGGCAGTGGGTATAGAAGACCCCTGAAGAGCTGTAATGAGGGAAGTAGAACACAGACAACCATGGTCTATCCAGACAAAAGGAGTATCCGATGCCAGGTAAGCAAATAAAAGAGACAAAGCAGAGCATGAGGTCTAAGGTTCACATAAATAATGAGCAACTAGGTGATATGAAGAAATTGAAGCAGCAGTGGGAGGTGGGTTGGTTAAAGCATTGATGAATTAGAGATTTCCATCAATTGAAAAAGCAAGGGCAAAGAAACATGAGAACAGAGACACAGAGTCAGAGTAATGAAGAAAACAAAGGAATAATCCCGAAGCTGAGGGTGTTTGTTCCTGCACACCCAGATTCCTTTATTGCTGTCTCTTACAGATAAGATTCAGTCCTCAGTAACTCTTGCCTGAATGCCTACAGGTATTAGAATCTAAAATTAAATAGCTGGCTACTGTGGAATTGCCAGTGCAGGATGCAGACACAATTTACTAGCAGAAGTATTTCCTATATTGATCGTTTAATACAGTCTCTTCATAAAATATTAACAATACAAGGCTTGATTAGAAGACGTTAACTGCTGAGACCCTCTGGTGAGACCTGAGTTCATGTTGGACTATAACTGCAACATAATACTTTTCTTGTAAATCAGTAAACACAAAGATGCTTTTCCTTTGAACTACATGGGAAAATTAGGAATGTTATTATGAAATATACTGAAGTTATTGAACAATAAAGAAATGTTTCTCAATTTAGCATAGCATCTGAAACTCCACATACATATAAGCATATAATATTGTCAATTTCTCATGCTTCCAACTTTAATTTTCAGCATTCAGAGTATAGACGATGTGATGTTTTGTTCAGAGACTGTTTTAATCACAAATAGGATAGAAATGTGTGGTGCTATTGGGAAAGAATACAGGATACTATCGTCAAGCACCAGGAGATTAATATTCAGAGTGACATTAAGAAGAATCTTTTGGAAATATATTACTTCCCTAGAATAACATTAGAATGCTCACTCCAATGGCAAAGTAGACTTGTGGCAGAAGATTCCAGAGAATATTTTTCCTATTTATATAAAATTAGATAGTAAGTTCTGTAAAGACTTTCTGAGATTTTATGGTTTTTTTAAATAAAGGATATTTAAATATAAAATTATCCATGATTTATTAATCTGTTTATTAATTCATTTAGTTAAATTTCCCAAACCTTTTGGCTATAAATGGGATACAAAGAGACTAATATATTGTCTGTATTCTAGGACTATATATAGGGAAAAGACAGGTGTATATAATCAACTACAATTTATGGCAGAATGTGATGAGTCAATTATAGATTCAAACCAAGATCTATATATACACAAGAGAACATAATTTCCACTAGTAATCAGATAAATTTTCTTGGAAGAGATGAAATTTCGGTAACTGAACTGAGCCTTACAAGTTAGGTAAGGTTTTGGCAGGTAGAGCGAGAGCAACTCAGGCAAAGAGGGTTACAGCAAAGCCTCCTAGGCAGTAAATCTAGAGATCAAGTGAGTAGCCTAGTGTGGCTGGAGTGCAGAGAACAGAGAGATAAGACTGGAGAGCCAGCCACCTAAGGTCAAGGTCCAGGTCACAGAGGACAGAGAATGCCAAAGCTAAGGTAGTTGAATGAGAGATTCCTTAAGCAATGTCATCATTAAAAATGTTTAGTGAATGATAGAGTTGGGTTTTTAAAAAATTATGTTCTACTCCATATATCTACTCTACAGCTGATTCTTAGTCTCATTACCCAGATGACAGAATATAGGTTTTTGTCTGCTTTCAGAGAATTATCTTTCTTTCCCTATTTCTTGACAGCTTTTCTCTTCAGATTCTAACTTTTAACTTTTGAAATATGAGCCTCTGAACTACAGTGTCTGTATTGAATTATTTGGTCAAGTCATAAACTTGAATTTGTATGTGTCAAAAATTTGTGTTAAATCTTGGTTTTAAAAAAGCTTACCTTATGTTAAAATTTTGGCATGAGTGTCACCACTGTTCTGATAACATTAAATGCTTCAAAATCAATCTGACTCACTTTAACCTAATTTCTAGCATGAGACCTACAGAGATCATTTAGCATCAAAATATGATATAAAAATAAGATAACTGAATTGACATGTATTCCTTAGAGCAACTCCCTCCACCATTTCTTTCTCCAGAAGAGTTTTGGCAGCTTGTCAAATATTTTCTTATGAAGAGTCATTATATGACTGCCTTCATCAAACTACCTATCAGTGCACATCCAATCAAGCTTGAAATAGAATTAGTGTTTCCCCAATTGTTTCTAGTGTTGTGAATAAGAATGGCTCAACTCAACACATCCTGAGAGGTAACATGATTGGATTGAGCAACAAAGAAAAAGTTTAGAGTTTCTTTTTTTTTTCCATAGATTTTCCTATAACTTCAGTGAATTTGACTTCTATCTGTATTCTTTTGTCTAGATTCTAACTTTCCTGATGGTATTTACCATCTGTTATTAAGAAGATCATGCTGATGTACAAGATGTAATCTACAGAAGAGATGATTATTTTTAAAAGCTTTTGGGAAGATATTTATGTACATATATTGGACAAATACTTATCTGTTCTCTCCTCCAGTTTTAAGTTTGTGCATCATGATGCATTGTACAGCTCCAAGTTCCTTTTTACTTTTGTTAAAATGCTTGTCACACTTTTCCTTTGTTTTAAAGATGTTAAGTCTGTCAAAGTGAAATGTTCCATATTACACTTCTGTTTCCTTAGGATAAAAATGAAATATAAGCTATTTCTAAATGAAGAAAATTGCTTCACTGCATTCTCTCTCTCATTCTCTTTCTCTCTCTCTCTCTCTCTTCCTGAGAATGATTACACAAATGTTTGCTTTCATGAAATACCCCTACTCAATTTTGGGGCTTATGCACATATTTTTTAATCTTAATTTTCTTATTGGTATACTTATTTAGCAGTTCAATTTCACCTTTTGAATTTTCATGAAAAGTAACAGCTTCACTGATATATTTGATCACATCTTAATCCTTACTATCACATAAACAATTTCACTTAATTTCAACATACATATCAACCTATCCCTTAAAACAAAATAGTTTATGATATATCGGTATAGACTTTAAAAGGATATATGAAAATAAAATGATAATGAGAACTTGTTTTTCAATCTCATGATGTCATACACATTTTTATTACCTATTATAGTTAGCCCTCGATATCTGTGGTTCCTGCACTTGTGGATTTGGCCAACTGAGGATCAAAAAAATTGGGAAAAAAAAACAAAAAAAAAATAACAAGATAACAATAAAAATAATACAAATAGGGGGAGGTGGAAGGAATGAAAATAAAATACAAACTAAAAAAAATAAAGTATAAAATTATTTACATAGCATTTACATTGTATGAGATATTATAAGTAATCTAGAGATGATTTAAAGCATATGGGAAGATGTATGTTATTTATATGCAAATACTATGACTTGCGCATATTTGGGTTTTGGTATCCATTGTGGGGCAGAGGGTGGTCCTGGAACCAATCCTTTCTGGATATAGAGGGACAACTCTACTTTTTTTTTTTTTTCAGTGTATTAATGTAATGTTGAAGTATTTTTCTTCCCTCTTTTTCACTATTTTTTTTTATTTCAGCATAATATAGGGGTACAAATATTAGGACAACTGTACTTTTAAAGAAGTAAAAGATGGCGAATTTTCCTACAGTGTAGTGAGGGAAGTGAGAGACATGAGCTAGCTGTAGGTAGGGGCAGTAGTATGCTCTTAGGCCTGTTTCTTATGCTTCAGAAGGAAGTAAGTTTTAAAAGCTGGCTATCTGTCAGGATTAATTTGAAAAACAAGAAAACATGAAATGCCCACATGAGTAGGGGGTGCTCAAATGTGGTCTTTTGGTCCTCTTAACTGAGTGATGGGTGACCATGGGAAATTGATTTGCAACCTTTGATGTAATTATTTATGCATCAATTTTGTCCTAGTCTTTTAAGAGAGCTAATGGCAAACATTTTACATTTATATAATAATTAAATTATTTCTCTTTCATTGCACTTATGCACAAGCATATTAAATCATTTACTGAAGTAATAAGATTGACTTTTACATCAACATTGAAAATGCTATCACTTCTGACAGATTTGGCCTCTCTCAATGTCAATTTTAGAAATTTAAAAACCAATTCAATTGCTGTCTGGAGATTGGGTTTCTGAAAAGTTTAGACACTCAGTTCTTCAGAAAATATTTAAGGCTAAGTAACAGAAAGGCCCTTGATTTTCTTTGGATTTGAAGCAACTAGTGCAAAAAAAATGTATTGTTCACAAGATTTTTGAGCATTTCTTTTCCTGTAAGTATTTTTATTGTAATGCATTATACTTTCTTGAAAACTTGATAACTTGTTCAGATTTCAGAATCTCATCACTATTTTCTTTCAGGGATGGGAATGCATTTCTATCACAACAAAAAATCTGTGGCAAAGGGTTTGTCACCTTTGAATATGATTTATTTTCATCTCTCAAAAATAAAAATGCAACACAAAAGATATCCTTTAAGATGACATAATTCATTTTCAAAATGATTCACCTGTGTTGTATTTGAACCTACTCATTTTTTTGCATTCTAGAATAAAAATAATTAGGTTGGTGATTCTATTAATTTGCTGAGGAGAAGTTTTTCATAATTAATTTGATTTTATGAGATATGTTATAAGGGGATGATATTTGAAAGGAATAAAATAAATCACAAATATTAAAAAATATACTCGCCATATTCAACAAAACAGGTTTAAACTAGTCTGAATAGTCTTTTTCAATTTTAATATTTATTTAGTCTACTATTTCAAAAGATCTATTAGTACTCTAAAGAGTAAATTAGATATTATTTCTGCTGTCTGAGAGGATCACAATGACAAAAATTTATGCTAATAATGATATAGGAAAATTTTATGTGCAAGAAAGAACTGTTATATTTAGCTAGAGTGAAAAGTAAAACATAATATTCATCTAAGGGATAAATCAATTATTTTCTAATCATAAAGTGTGTTGGCAAAATATGCATTCAATAGTATGTCCCATTATATATTATTTTGTGTCAGTGATGTTCTATTATATATAAAGCATATGATATAATTTAAAATTTCAATATAAATTTACTTTTCTCAAAAAAAATCCAACATACTTATATTGTAGAATAGGATCAAAGTATTTTATAGTTGAATAAGATTTTTTTTTTTTTTTTTTTTTTTTTTTTTTTTTTTTTTTTTTTTCAGCCTAGCTCACAGCAACCTCAAACTCCTGGGCTCGAGTGATCCTTCTGCCTCAGCCTCCCGGGTAGCTGGGACTACAGGCATGCGCCACCATGCCCGGCTAATTTTTTATATATATATCAGTTGGCCAATTAATTTCTTTCTATTTATAGTAGAGACGGGGTCTCGCTCTTGCTCAGGCTGGTTTTGAACTCCTGACCTTGAGCAATCCGCCCGCCTCGGCCTCCCAAGAGCTAGGATTACAGGCGTGAGCCACAGCGCCCGGCCATGATTTTAAAGATAGTGGGACTTAACTCCTGCTGTCCCTTCCTCTTTTCTTCTACCCACATTTGGCACACAGGTAAATTAAGGATGGAAGAAAGTACATGTAGTGAAGGTTCTACTATGTATGATTAGTCACTGGGAGAGGACCAAAGTCTTCTGACCCCTAATCTTTGTCGCTTTGCCCACTACACCATTCTGCTTCTTCCCAAAATTTGGGCTCTTAAATTATCAGTGACTTGGCGTGAAACCCAAATCCTTCCAAGCACAATTTTTCATTTAGTTGCCTTTTATCTCTGTATGACTAGTATGACCAGGATATCTGGTTGAGGGTATGGGCATTCACAAAGTTTAAGGGACATGTTTAAGGACTGTGCATGTAGTTAGCATAAGGGCCAGAACAATAAACCAAACCTAAGACTCTATATTTCAGTATATTTTTCACTAAACCAAAAGCTTCTGGTCTAAATGTGCATTCAAGCCAGAGCACATTGCCATGTTGGGGGAAGGGAGAGGGAGTTATGGCAAAAATATGTAAATGAGCACCTGCTGAAGACCACCAGACCCATCTGCTGCTTGGATTCACATACCCACTCGCTGACCTCTTTATGTTAGTGTTCCCCTTCAGTTGTTCCGGACATGGAAAGAGGACCACATTCTCTAGTTGTAGATTTTAAGGCATTAACGATAATCAAGATCATCTCGTATAACAAGCTTGTCCAAGAAGTGCTTGCTTGATTTAGTGTACTAGTGTCTTAAACTGCTTGAATACCCAGTTTGGGTCAATCTTAGATAAATTGTGGCCTATAACAATACTTAAAGTTGGCCCTATAATTCCCAGAGTCTGGATAAGGCATTCACTCCAGCTTTGGCTACATCTCTAATTTATGATTCTGGGATCTTTCAGAACCTCCATCATATTGCATCAATGTACTTCACTAAATACCTTTCTTAGTTCTATTAGTGACTATAAAAAAGTCCTTCAGTAGATCATTCAACTGATAGTAACATTATAAAAATGATGCATAGCCACATAGAAAATTTGAACTATTCAGAAAAGAAGAAAAATGTAAATAAAGATTAAAAGACACAAGAAATCACCACCTAGATACAGTTGTTCATTTTAGGTACATATTTTTTTACTATATATGTAAAATTCATATATAAATTAAAAATATAAATATCAGGTATATATTATTTATATAAGTTCAAAACATAGCTAACTAATTCTAGACATATAAATTTTACCATTTAATAATATACTATGAAAAATGTACCCTGTCATTCTATATTGTTATGTAGCATCATTTATCATGTTTGCATGATGTTTCATTTTATAAATGACTTATGATTGACCTAATGATTCCTCTTTTTTAAATATGTAGATTGCTAACAATTTATCCTAATTAACTTTTATGGAAATTATTACATACAAATCTTGGTGCACATATCTAATTATTTCCTTAGAAAAAGATTCTCACTGTGGAAAGTACTAGGTCAAATGGTATAACACTCCTAAAAGGTACTTTCAAAGACTTATATTTAGTACAACATTTTAACTAAACTGTTTTCTTCATCATAGTCACCATTCTTGGACATTTGTTATCTGCTGAATATAGTTCATGTTGCATGGATTTTCTTATTTATTTGGTATCACAAAATAAATTGCTATTATTATGCCCAATTTAGTGATTTTGCAGAAGATAACCCAAATTTTAATAATTTCTCATATATTTGAAGCATATTTGACCTTGTAAGCAGTATATATCCTTATCTTTTATGCAAGCTGGTTTTATAAGCCTTAACATACTATTAATAGTCCCATTGTTCCTCAGTAGATTTTTATGTTAATACAGAGGCACAAACTAGGAAACTACTCTGCTATATAACTCATAACAAGGTTCTTCAAAATAAAATTGTGGATACAACTACTTGTTACCATTCTTCCCATAATCAGCTTTCCGCTCTAGCTATTATTTCAAAGGTAGGAAGATAGCTCACAGCTGTGTGCTCATTAAGAACCTGTATATGCCATCATTCTCTTTCTGAATCTGACTTTTGGAAAACAGAAATTCTAAAGAAAATTGGTAGAATTCTGCTAGTCTATGATACCAAATAAAGAGGTACTACAGAGTAGAATTTGGGTGATTGTTAAGAAATTATTATAGTATATATGAAAACTTGTGAGAGTATATGTACATATTACATAGGTACATTACAAGTGGGTGAAATAATTTGATGCATCACATAATTAAAGACTATGAAGAGCAAACTTTCTTGTAATGAACTATATCACATTAGTAATTATTTTTTAACAAATGGTATACAATATTACACAGAAAAAGTGTTTTGGAATATGGTAATTCAATATTCAATCATTTATATAAATTAATTCATTCTACTTTTAGGTTTTATGCTTGAAGTTAGCTCATCTATTTCTCTGTGTTAGTATGTTATATTAGATATCTATATTTGTCAGTGGGTAACAATGAATTTGTATTAGTGGCTCCTTTACCAACAACAATGTTTTCAACACGAAAAACTTACTATGCTCCCCTTTCCTTATATAGATCAATAAAGAATGTAAAAACAGATGCCATAAATAAGATTTTTAAATA